GTGAGGATAAGGCGTGGATGACTAAACGCTACCTGGATTTGCAAGTGCTAATTTTTGTGAGACGGTGGTGGCTGGGGACAGGGAGCCCTGGTTCCATAATGTATGAGCTGCCCCCCTCAAATCTCCATAACACCCTCACCGCCCCCATCAATAGCAAAAATTATATACCTCCCTCTTTCCTACACTCTATCTCTCTTCCTTACGCTCTTTAGCCTAAGAGTACTTTCCCATAAAGGAAGAGATCGAGGTGCAAGCTGGTAGTTTATTTGATAACCTTCTAGTTAATATTCTACCGATGATAAGGGCCGAATTGGTATGCATATTCCGTACAGGCAGGGTAGATGTGATAATAAAAATAAAATTGCATAACGAAGCCCAACGTTTAATGTCAACACTTCCTAAATTATTTCCCGCCGAATCTCCTTCCATTGAATCTTGTCAAAGCATAAATTTACATGATTAGAATCATTGGCGTTCTTACGTCTGAAATATTGGTGGGACGGGGATCATAATAATTAGTAAAAAGTTTCTTTGCGGATAATTTTATTAATCCTATTAAATTTTAGATAGCTTAATAGCATTGAAGTTTTCCTTGGAGTATTTTAATTGATAAATTTCCCCATAACGGAAACCAGTAAACCAGAGAAGCTATTCTGAAAACATCAATTATATTAATCATAGGATAATTAAATAACATGTAAAGTGGGAATTAGGTTTTAAGTATGGATTATAGGTTTTAACACTTTAGCTGTTAGTTCACATCATGGGCGCTAGTATTGCCCAAATGCGAGACCAAGACGAGTCTTGTTCCGGCAAACCTGGTCTTGCGCAAGTCTCGCAACAGTCTTGCAGTTACATATTAGCTTATTGCTATAGAGATATTACTGTAATTTTTTAGATAGGAGAAATCTAACTAATCTTGAATGAAAAAATAGAGGAGTTAAATACAAAAGTATATTGGTTATACCAATTATTATCATATATTAACTAAGATTGACAAGTATAAGCAACTATTTTGCCTTAAGTTTTATTTATAAAATCGATTATTTTTCTTTACCAGTTCTAGTCTCGGTCTTGCAACTAGTTTTGCCCAAATGCGAGACCGAGACGAGTCTTGGTCTTGCAAATTCAGTCTCGGTCATGGTCTTGGTCTTGCGCAAGACTTTCGCAACAGTCTTGCAGTTACTTATTAGCTTAATACTACAAAGATATTCCTGTAATTTTTTAGATAGGAGAAACCTAACTAAGCCCGAATGAAAAATTAGAGGAGTTGAATGCAAAAGTATATTGCTTGTACCAATTATTAACATATAATAATAAGATTGTCCAGTATTAGTAACTATTTTGCCTTAATTTTTATTTAGAAAATCGATTTTTTTTTTACCAGTCCTGGTCTTGGTCTTGTAACAGTTAGGCTGCCTTGGCCTTGGTCATGTACTTTGCAAGACCAAGACAGATTTTGGGCAACACTAATGGGCGCCGTTCTGTTCCAATTATAGGAGAGGAACTTAATATTCAGTGAAACGTCTCTTAGTGGATCCTTCTGTATAGTGGACAATTTTATAATAAACACAAATAATAAATAAATCCATACTGAATATCATTACTGCTTTTTTAATTTACTCATATTTATTTTGAAAATATTAGAGGGAAGAAGTGGAATTGTTTCAAACATTAGGGTACACACGTCATATGATTAGAAATAGCATAAAGCTCCTATACTTACCATGTAGTATCACTCTGTATTTGACTTTTGCCGTTTCAATTACAATAAGCATTTGCCAGTAAAAAAGAGTTGTCGGATTCCTGATGTATCATAAGTGATGTTCAATTGCGTTCATGGTTTTCTGATTTGAGGCACCTTAAAGAAACACATTGAAGGTGGGCAATAAAAACCTCGTGTCTCCATTTTGTAAATATTACAAAAGAAACAAATAAGCGTTTTAAAGAATGTAAACTGTGAGATACACAATTATGTTTTATAGTTTTTACTGCATGGTACAAGCCTTATCTATTTATTAAAGTTACAGATGTACTTTTAAATCTCTCTTTATATTTAGAACACCGAGTGATGGTGACCATCGATATACGTTTCCAACTTATATAAAAGAAGTATAGACTAATATTTTTTATTTTTAACTAGTTTTACACACCTAAAATTTAAAAACTGGTTAAACTTACCAATTTGATTGACAGTAAAAACATTTTATTTAAATTTAAATTAATTCCAGGTGGTTTGTTGTAGATTAAAAAAAAAATCAAATATATAGTAAAAAGTTATATACATTTTGTTTCCGTACTAGTATCACTTATATAAAAGGTATTATAGTTACTTATTTAATTTAACGTATAATATATATATACACTAATACACATATTATCAATAAGGTATTTTATTATGCTTAATTAGCTAATATATAAATGCACTAATTAAATCTGATTTAACATTATATAGATCCCTTACACTAAGTCTTGGGTCTCTAAAATACCGGTAAACAATTAACCAGTTATTGTTAACTGTTCCACCAATTCAAGCATCTTCAAGTCGTACAGAAACAAGATTTATGGACGATTCATACAGCGCACCTCACATCAACATTCCAAAAAGCTAAAGACTTTCTTTATTTCCAAATATTCAGTACAGATTATAAAATATTTTTTAAGGGGTTACAAAAAACCCAATAGAGTAGAGGAATTTTCTTAAGGAGATATTTTAATTTATAAAAAAATAAATATAACTCCTCACATTGAAATTGACTTCAATATTGACAAGGTAGATGAACAGTGTATATTTTTTAGTAAGTGGCGTATTGAATTTTTAAATGCAGCATGTATGTAGTATACCACCAATTCGTGTTTGTTGACACTTCGGATAATTTCATATTAGTAACACAGTTAAGAAGGCGCCAACTTTTTTGCATTCGCCTCCGGAATACGTTAAGGATAAACATGCTTGTTCCAGTGTTGGATGTAGATGTTAACCCCCGAGGACATTTGCCAAGGGGTCGCGCCGATTTCACGGATTGTGGTTCCCAGGATTATGGAAACTATTAGCACCTGGAGTTGTCCGTCACCAGATGGCCTCATTGTCGTCGACAAATACTCCTTTTGACCGTGTCGTGTAGTATTAGCCGTGTCCGACACCTGAAGGATCGTGTCTCCGCTCCCTGAATAAGCTGTCAATTGCATTATACCTTCCTTCGGCGCCCTTGCACCAGAGGATGTCGTCCCGAAGAGAGTAATAAGAAGTGAACTTAGTCCGTATGAAAATTTCATGGTGTTATATTATACGTATTTTTTTATTTCAAATAAAGTTAATAATAACGTTCTTGTTCATAACACAAGCTACTGTCAAAAATAATACAAATTGATAATTTTAAACCAATTTCCTATTAAATGTATTTTTTAAATAACAGTGCTACCTATATATATATATATATATATATATATATATATATATATATATATATATATATATTAATTTACTTAGATTTACAGCTGTATTTTTTTTTTGTATTATTAATAATAATAATCTTTATTTATTCTGGGACAAGTCCTTTCGAATAAAAATACAATAACAGAATTCAGGACTTGAGAGCTCTCAGATGTAAACATTATGAAAAATAGAATTAACAATTAGAAATAATAATAAATTATAGCTTTTTTCACTATATTTATACATCCACACCTGTTTAATATACATTTGCAAGAAATGGATTGTCGGTCAGTAACAAAAATAAAATAATAATGGCATATCAGGCATGATACACACAGGAAGAAAAATACTCATCAGTATCTCTTCCGTGGCATTATTTTAGACAAAAAAAGAATAAAATATAAAATAAATTTACAGGACAGTACGAGATTACACATGTTATTTTTATTTTTTTAAAAAAATGCTCTCGACCAATCTCCACTGGCTTTATTACCAATGACGCGGTTGGGAGAGTAGCGCAGGGTTCTCTTGGAGTCCTGATTTTCCTTCTATGGTTGGAGGGAGTTTTGTTTATTTTATGTTTTCTGCATATATGGTGTTAATGTATTTAAAACTCACTATAGTTATTGTTCACGTGCCAGATTATTATATTTCTAAATAAATAAATAAAAGAAAAAACAATTTCACATGTTTGCCACAAGTATATTTTTAATGAAGCTGAACTTTTAAGAATGTTTTTGAAAATTTCGACCTTATCTACCAATTTAAAAAATAGGGTAAGATCACATACATCAAACAGAGTTACAACGAGTTCACCATTTTCTGATTTCGCAAAGAAAAAATTCACCAGTTCTAATATCTCACTTAATGACATTTTACAAATAAACCGACGATATGAATTCCTAGATAACGGATCTGACCAAAAGGGAAAAGCGAAATGTTCTTAAGAGACAAAATATGGAAGGATATTTAAGATCATTTTGTATTTAATTTGGATTTAGAGACCATTCTTATAATTGGGTGTATTATAAAATGATTAATGTAAATTCGTTGTATCATTTTTAAGATTGATTGTTATCACACTCGGAGAGTTGTAAATAGTTTATCTTCTAATCATAATTAAGTCGATACTAATCTCATTCAACATGACCCACCGATTTATTTAATCAATACACATTTTTAAATATCTTCTTTTTTTCCTTTCTTTTTTAAGGTTTATATTTAACCAGAAATTGAAATACGTCGCGTTATACATTTGGTATTTTTTTAATATGAAAATCAGTTTAAAAAAAAGAAGTTATAAATCACAGCTAAGAATAGATAAATTATTTAAAACAGATAAAGAAAATGTATTTAATTTAATGTACGTAATTTATATTATTTTATAATATAAAAAAAAACGATCAATCCATTATTTTTTTTTTTTAAGCAATTACAACAGTTTTGATATGATCGACTAGGTCAAATATTCAGTAATTATGAATTACCACGTTCCTTAAATATGTTATCCTAATTTAGAACACTCATTTATTTCGCAACATTCCGATGGTATTTTTTTTTTTTCATGCCTTGCGAAGAACGACAAGAAGTCGTCCTGACACTGGAGAAAATTCCTACTCCGCGCTCCAGCCTTGCGCAGAAGATATCAGATGGGGTAAGAGGAGGATGATTAGAAGTGGAATGGTGAAATAAAGGAACAAAGGATAAAGCGGACAATGGGACCTCCTAGGCGCTGTTTTACAGCATTTTTAGAAAAACAAGAACAATGCAAAAGAAAGAGACAAAAGCACCCCATGCCCATCTCATCTTCCTCCTGGAACCCTTTCTATGCCCTTATGGTACATTTGGGAAAAGTTCACTTTATGAAGGATAGCCATACAGGTCTCTATACTCGATATTAACGCAGCTATTGTTCTTTTCCCTAGTCTTGAGGGAAAATTACAATATTTTATATTTTGAGGATGGTGTAGTATTGTGGCTATTCCAAAAAAAAAAAAAAAAAAAAAAAAAAAATACGAAAGTTTAAAATGGTTTACACATGCCTGTTTCTTCGTGAAATTATAAAAAAGTTACTTTTTTTTTTTGTAACTAGAACGTAAACTATATGATAAATTATTATATAAGTTATTCCACATGTCAGCGGTGCCCAGAGAAAGGAGTTTCATGGCGCAAGTTGCGCTATCAAAATATTTGAGAGGGACAAATTTTGGCGTGGTCATGAATGTTTGGAATGGAAAGTCTCAAACCAAGGACAAGAGAAAAACAGGGAACAGATCGCAGCAATTTAAGAAAGTGTAAATATGATATACGATCTTTTAAATTTTGCTTTCGTTTTGCACTGTTGAGGAGAGAAGAGGAAAGAAATAAAATATCTTGGAATGGGGAGCAGGAAGGTTCTAGCGCCACCGATCTTGGAAGATGGTCACCCCTGTCTCATGTCCCAAGATTTAAGATGGTACTTGGTATGGAAATGCATCTTTCCTTTGAAATGTTCTATATTTTCTGAATTCCCCATCTATTAAAAATTGAACGGTTTCAACTTTGATAAAATAATGCTCGTATGTTTCTTCAATACTGCCTCAATTCAGTTCTAATTTCAAAACGCCAACTAATTTAATCTATAAATTTAACTTTGGAGTATGTCCCGCTAAGTGTCAGTTTAATGAGATTTATGTGTTGTTTTTTTTTTATCTACGTCGTATCCATGAAGTATCCCATAAAGTTTCTCTTTCCACCGAATCACACCGGTTTCTAAAAATCAACGAAAGAGTTGTATATTTTTCTTGCCCTAGCCATGTGGTACCTCTAAATCAGTTTTAAACTCAGAACTTGTTCTGAACACGATCTTTCTTTTCTAAATCCCGCATGGTATTCTCCAATCCACTGGCAGATCCCCAAAATGAGAAAATATAAAATGTTTTATAGAAAAAATTATCTCTTATAGCATTATTGTTGGTGTAATTATATTTAATAGGACTTCAAGAATCACTTAGACACTATTTCATATAGATAGTTAATTAATTTTTTCCCCAAAGTAATTATAGTTATATATATGAAAAAAAAAATCTCTCTGGCTGAAGCCATCCCCTCCCCCCAAAAAAAATAAATCCTGGTTCTGCTAGAGCTGCAATCTGGAAGTATATTTGTGGTTCTAGTCTGTTTACTTTCAATAGAACTTTGTATATTACCGGAAGTAAGGATATTCCCCAATAATTACTAAGTATAGTACCCGTTTTTTTTTGTTTTTTTTATGAAGCGGGCATATCAGCGCGGTTTTCCAGTTTACCGTATTGTTCCTCTTTTCCGAATTTCTTTAATTATTTTTATTATTTTAATTATTTGACTTTCGCTAATAATCCGTCTTCTCTGGCTGCTTTATTGTCTTTTATCGAGAATATTAATGGCTTAATTTCTTCCTATGTGGGTTGTGAACTATCCGGTTTTTATGATTTCTTTTTTCTTCTATTTTGATTCTAGGTCCTTTGCAATTAAGTAATTTCTCAAAGTAAACTCAATTTATTATATTAAAAATGTTTATTAGAATCTACTTTATTTATAATAATAATTTTTAAGATTGAAATGCATTTTATTTTTACAGAGATTCTCATCATTATAAATTTAATTAGTCCTCTTTTGATCTCAACAGTGTTTTAACCCCTAATAAAATTCGAGAGCTTTTATACATTTTAGGCAATATATTTCAAAAATAAATGTTACCTTGTTCAGACAATTAAAAAAGCAGATTTTCATTTATTTAAACTAAAAAAAATAAAATAATATTTTTATGTAAAACTCACTAAAATACCCCCATAGTTCCAGCCTCGGCTCTATCAAAACGGTTCAGAATTTGACAGTATTATAAATTAGTTATTAAAAGTTTTACGAAGCTACTATTTACTAAACATTAGCATTTGTTTCTCAATATAAATTATAAACATTATTTGAATATAATATATTATATTATAAATATTTCACTACTATTTATAATAAGCTAATTACAACTGATTCAATTTGGGTTTAAAATATAAAATAAAAATACCATTTTAAAAATTATTGAAGCAAATCAACGATATTAAAATGCTCTCGTTTGAAAAGCATATGTCCGCACAATAACGCCGTATGAAGGGGCATAGCTTCATTGTCCCACGTATTTAGGCTTCAATTTACAATAGTACAATGATTTCCTCCATACGATGTTCATAAAATATTTCATTCATATTCAAAATTAATTCCCATTCTCCCCTCCCTACTTTTCATCATACCTCTTATACCCTTTTTACTTCGGTTTCTTTTTTTTTTATTTCTATTAATATATATCATGATAGCTTGCTATTATCATCTCTCCTTATTATTAACTGTTTTGATACACATTCTTTTGGATTATATAAACATATATTTAACATATCCTTAAAGGTCATAATAATTTTCATAGTTTCATAATTATATGCTTTTATGGTTGTCTCGTTTTGATTAGCTCGTCACTATCGTTTAAGTTTTAAATTTATCTGTGTGTTTTCTCCTTCATTAATATCAATTAATTTATAGAACGAATTGTTAATGATAATCTATATTATTATTAATGCCATTCACTGTCCAACTAACTGGCAATCTAAACCAGAGTGTAGACCAGGATTAGTGTTGCCCAAATGCGAGACCGAGACGAGTCTTGGTCTTGCAAACTCAGTCTTGGCCTTGCGCAAGACTCTCGTAACAGTCTTGCAGTTACTTTAATAGATTAGATAGAGATATTACTGTATTTTTTTAGATATGAGAAACCTAACTAAGTCTGACTAGAAAATTAGAAGAGTTAAATGCAAAAGTATATCGGTTACATCAATTCTTTACATATAGTAACTAAAATTGTCAAGTATTAGTAACTATTTTGCCTCAATTTTTAATTTAAAAATTCGATTTTTTTTTATTAGTCTTGGTCTTGATCTTGCAACAGATAGGCGGTGTTGGTATTGGTGCAATACCCACACCGATTTGGCCAACACTAACCAGGATGTATATGGTAGAGATTGCCATCGATAGTCGATATTTTTCTTCCAATACTTGATATTTTACCATCGATGGCATCTACTTCCATACTATCGACTATCGATATCGTCCATGTGATATTTTAATTTAAAAATGAAAATGATCTTTTTCGGAAAGCTCTTGGGATTGTAAATGAAACTCATTATTAGAAAAACAATTATATTCATCTTGTCTGTTCTCATACAGAGTGTAGTGTGTTGTAAAGTTGAACAGCGCTCATAGGCTATAAGCTTATAACCATAGGACCTGAATAAAAAGTAATTCATTTGGAACATAGGTGAATTTATTGCGTATGATTTCTGAGTGTAAACTCAATTTTCCCAAATTTGTTAGATAGAACCTTTTCAAACCAAGGCCACGAATCGTCAAAGAAATTTATGTGGTATGCAAAAAATTAGCATTTCGATTAATCCGATCTATGGGCGATTGGAAGGCTAAATTGGTTGAATGGAAATTTATAGCAAAAAATCTGAGAATGATGAAGAGGGGCAGGAAATTAATTTTACTAAAAAGAGTAGAAGAATTGTTATTTTCATTAATTAAGTTAAAGAAGAAATTAGCATACTTTATGATGCGCCTATGTGCTATAGAATCAATAATTAATTATACTTCAAAATTACTGTTTTTTCAAAAATGTTTATTATATCGATGAAAATATCGACTCATGATAATATCGGTATTTTGAGGTATCGGTAGTTATCGGCCGATATTTCTATCGACATTGGGCTTTCAATATCCTATCCGTAGTGTATGGGAGGATAACGTTTTAAGGCTGATCATATATTTGAGTCTTCGGCGGAGGGTGGTTCGTTGAAAGCGTTCGATGGTGACGGCATTGAAACTGTGGTTTACCTTGTTATAAAATTTATTACTATATTTTTCTCTGTCATAAACCTATGCCTTCCTGTCTTACACTATCCTTTAATAACACCCCAATAATTCCTATTGAGCAAATCCGATACCTAGGACTCCACCTGGACAAACTTCTCACTTGGAATCCTCATACCAGACTGAAACGACAAGAAACTGCTCGACGTTTCCGCTTACTCCAACAGTTACTAGAAAAACGATCTAAACTTCCAATTAATTGCAAAAGATTCATATACTCCACTAAACCATCGAATTCCTCTCGTATCCAATCCCTACAATCCAAAATCCTTCATAAAATCCTCAATGCTCCTTACTTTGTCACGAATAAAATAATCCATAAAGACCTTAATGTTCCATATGTTTCCGTTTTGGAACAAACCAGATACCTATCCTTCCATAATAAACTTCATAATCATCCGAATCCTCTTGTTTCTAACCTTGATTCCTTGATAATCCTCCGAGGCGTCTGAAAAGAAGATGACCGCGTGATCTCCTTATGTAGACACATTATTAGAGTGCTACCATTGGGTAGTTTCTGAACAAGCGTTTTCATGTGATTATATTTCTGTGTTCACATTTATTTGATGTATTTATATAAATACAGTTGTAAATATCATAAATAAAAAATAAATACAAATATTTTCCCTCTGGATAAGGCACATTATTATTGTGTCGGTTGGGAGGAGTGGAGTAACGCAGTGGATAAGTCACACTCGAGTTATGCAGTGATAAATAAGTATTTATTCTGTTGTATCGCCCTTGGTTTGACATTTGTGTCGGAAGAGTTAGTTTATTGTCTCGCGATCTGAATTACTCCTCTACTCCTCTCGTATAATATAGTCAGCCTCTATAAATTTGGTACCTTTAGCGGAAAAATCCGGTTGTTAAGTGTTATCCTATCGCAACTCTTAGCCAAGAGGTCCCTATCAAGTACAGAATCCATGACCCTTTTGGATTTTTTTTTCTTTTATGTACGACAAACATTTATTGTCATTAATGTTATCCACAATTTTCGTCGTTGCCAAATGACTAAAAGTATCTTTAGACTTTGTTATGCTTAATTAATTATATGTTTACACATATACAACTACTCTTAATGAACTTAATTATCTAATTTATTTATGTAATATTTTGCAGGTCTCTTCGATAAACCGAGTTTTGCGGAACTTGGCTGCCCAAAAGGAGAGTGGAGGAGGAGTCGCGCACCAATCACCACCCGACTCTTCCTCGGTCTACGACAAGATCCGATTACTCAACGGGCAGGCAGCATGGACCCATAGGCCTCCTCCCTGGTAATTAAATATAACTATAATTTTAATTACCTATCATTAAATAATTAAAACATTAAAAATTCTGTTAATGATATCAGCATTGAGTAAATTTATGCCAACTTTCAAATTTTGAATATTACCATTCATAATGCGAAGCATAAACTTAAAAAAACAATTAGCCATTTTAAAAATCTCAATGCACGCTCACTTTACCATTAATAGTTCAATGTAGAATATTGTATGCCAAATTAACTAGGATATTTTTAATTACGTATTTCTTGTATAAAATTAATCTTGTGAGTTAAAAAAAAAGAAAGTGTATAATACACAGTAACTTAGATATAACGCCTGTAACAGAGGATAATTAAAAAGATATTCACTTTACCTACCTCAGAATTTCAAAAACTGTAATAATTAGGGACTTGATTTAAAAAAAAAAAAATTGAAAAAAATCTGGAAATTGTCACAAGTCAATACAAAACTCGTAAAATAGACTAAATCACATAAATATTATCTTCCCACCGTTTATTCAACAATTAATTTATTCCTTATTCTAAACACCATAATCATTCGTCTGTTACCTTACGATACCTTAAATGCCTTCATAAAAAATAATTCTGGTTTTGAAAATGACTGAATAGTTGTTACTTTCAAATTTATTTTAAGACAACCATTTGGTTATAATGGTTGTCTTGAAATATAGGCGTAAAACCTATTAGTTATAATCACCGTAATTTTTACATAATTGAACATATTACTTAATAAAACTCCATTGCAATTATACTTTTTTTCGTCGTTCGTAATTGTATTTAATGAGATTATTATTTCACCTTCATTAATTAAAATATCTTTGTTCGATGAATTGATTTTTCCATCATTAATCAATAAATCATTTTTTGTTACATCTGTAGTCAATGAATTCAATTCTTCATTTGTTATTATTACAGTATCTTCAAGCGCTAATGACTTAACAATGACCAAATGGATGAGATATCTAAAAAAGTTTTGTTTTTTTTATCAAAGTTCGTTGACATTCTTGATAATTCGTATAAAAAAGGTATTGAATTTCTGAATTATTTGATTACACTCTTTCGTTATCTAATTTATTCTGAGATGTAAATATTACTATTGCGAAAAAGATGGAACATCTGAAAGGTTAACTTAAGACGACGGAATAAAACAAATAACGGTTTTGAATGTAATAAATTATCAACAACAACGCCTACGAGTAACAAAAAAAAATAAATGAAACACTTCGGTGAAGATCACAGAATACTTTGATTTTCATTCGACTTTTTTCAGACTTTTCAACTTTTCATGTTTGGTTGATTCACTTTGTGGCCGCCAGCTAAAAATTTATACAGACTGTAAGATGGGAAAAAGGCCACTAAAGATATAGAGAAGAGAGATAGAGAGCGATACAGGGAGGGAGGGAGAGAGAAGAATACAGAGAGTGAGAGAGAGAGAGAGTGAGAGAGAGAATGGGGGGAGGGGGGCGGCAAAGGGGGAAGACGCGGATGCTGGCGGTGACGTGGCCCCGGGCGCCACTTTGTACCAGCACGGATACAATGTTGCAAATGACAAGCCCCTCGCTTTTGCCACGTTATCAATTATCAACAGTATTACCTACGCCCACCACCAACCCCCTTTGTGGTTTAATTCTTTTTTTTTATATTTAATTCGAGAACCCTCGGCGCTGCCTAACTCTCTCATGGCCAATCTACCCAAACTGATTCTTTAACAGCCTGCCCACTTAGTGGTGCTATTATACCAACCCCTCAGTGTAATCGCCTGTTTAAAGTAATATGAACCTCTCTCGCATGCAGAAAATTGATCCTCCAATGCCTTCGTTATCTGACCACTTCAATTTTGCTCAACCCTCTCAGAGGAAGCGACAAAGCGCGACTGATTCGCAAAGCTACATCTAAAGCTATTTACGCAAGTTTATGATTTTAAAATAAAGCAAATAAAATAAATGATACGAAAGAGATAATATATAGTAACGAAACGGATAAGGCATCAATCGAAGGAAGAATAACCAAACTGGAAAGACTGAACTTCGCCACCAGAAATGTTTACAAGAAAAATTTGTCCTCAAATGCGAAAATATGGCATTACTATCCAATAGCAAAACCTGTAATATTATATGGTATGAAAAGAGTCAGCCTTCCGAGCCTAGAGAAACTTCTGAAGATTGAGAGGAAGATTCTGAGGAGGATTCACGGACGCGCAAGAGGGATACAGGCTAAAATCCAATAAAGAAATATACCGAAATTTGGAAGCTTTGGAAACAGTCGTCAGGACCAGCAGACTGAGGTTCTACGGGCAGATGGTCAGAATGTATAGGGAAAGACTGAACAAAAAAATGTTTGACAAAGTTTGCAGCTATAAAAGTATGGGGGGATATGTAAAACAAATAAAAGAGGAACAAGACAGGCTAAAAATCACGGATAACGATTGCTTGGATAGAGGTTGCGGTTGGGGTTCTTGTAGGTGAGAGGGATATACGAGGGAGAAAATGGACTAAGGAAGAACGAGAGGAACAGTCCAGGAGGATGAGAGAATATTGGAATAAGATGAAGGCTGAGGGGGTGAAGAGGAAACGGAAATGAAATTCGCGTGGTCCATGCTGGCCGATTCGTGTAAAAACGAACAAAAAGAAAAAAAATTATACGAAACTATTTTTATTTATCATATTACGCTGCATTGCTCTCAATACCTGTCTGCCCACGTGTTGGAATTTTGACAATTCCTTCTGAATCGTCGTTATTATTTAAAAAATCTTAAAATGCATTTTATAACGAATTGCAATCAATATATTTTTCCTTTTTAAAAAGAGGGTCGTAAAAGTCTAAAAAATTGGTAGTCGGTAGGCGAGAGGTGTGGAGAGCAGGGAGGAAATGGCTTGCGTCTCATTTTGTAAAGAAGTGCATCGCAAACTTCATATCGAACATCTGCGTTTTTTAATGCATGAAGAGATTTAAAGAGAGGAGATTTGGTAACTCAGGTTCTCTGACACTTCTCAAACAGTTGATTAGGAATTTCCTTCGATCAAAGCACACAGAATATCGTCTTCAAGGGAAGAAGTCATTCTATGACTATCTTTGCCTATAAGGCTGAAGTCTCCTCTCGAAATTTTTTAAACAGTCGTTGAGCGGTGGACTCAATCACACTGCCATCGCCACACACTTCATAAATATTTCTCGCCGTTGGAACCCCGTTTCGATCGAGTTCAAACTCGTAAAACAAAATTATGCAAAAACCGCGCACGGAAATCTTAATAAAGGCTGAATTATTTCTAACTAGTGAGATATTACTGAACATTTAAAAAAAGTATTTGGAAGAGGATAAATAAACGTTGACACCCATATAGAATAAAAATATAAGAAATGTTAATAATTAGTTATATAAAGGGTTAATATAAAGAAAACTTAAAATCCTGCATTATTTTCCGGAGAATCCTCAAGCAACAACCTAAATCTCTGTAGCATACGATAATTTGTTAACATTTATTGATATTATTATTATTTATATCGTTTCTTAAAATAATTTATATTATTGATATTCAATGTCATTAGGCAGCATAAATAAAATAATACGATTTGAAATAATGGACAATAAAATATGAAGAGCCGCCATTTTTTGGCCGCATGCCTTACCCAAGGCAGCTTGAAAAAAAATTGGAATTATTATTAACTGCTACTAAAAACTTTTTTCTTTCGAACCTTCTCCCCCACCCTCTAAACAAAGTAACTTCTGGAGGATTTTTTACTGTAAAAAGCAAAGTTTCTCAATCTTTATCCAGCTACTTAGTTTTTGTGGTTTCCATTTCTGTAACTATATAATTAGTTAATATTTGCATTAATTAAAGTGGGTTGTCCAAATCATAACAATATTCTCTAATTGAGTAAAAATATCTACAAAATAATATATTTGGTCAAGTGCTTTAGTCGTTAAAGGATGCAATAGTGGATCCGGGATTGAAATTTTGGCGATATGGGAGCTTCGCCCTTAAAAATAAAAGAAGAAGAAAAAATGGTGGACTACAAAAATAATGGGCCATTTGGCTTATATACTCTTGTTATTTCAACATGATGGAGGTAGATGTCAAGCCATCTTTTTCTCGACTTTGTGATCAAATTATCTTCAATGAGAAAAAAAATGGTTGTTCTCGAGTTGTTAGTACTTCATTAAATATACAAACTTTACCGGGTCCCAGATTGAAAATGCCCAAATTTCGATATTTTTAGTATAAAAAAAAGTTATGATAAGATAACATAGGTTATGATAAGATAAAGCCATTCACGAAGTTTTAGACGGATGTTAATAATTTGATGAAATGGGGTCTGTATCGCGAATTAGCTTTGTATACTTCTAATCATCGTGACGTTCGGTAGTATCTTACAATAAAACAACTTAAATAAAATTACTTCTATACAATAAAATATATTATTTTATAAAATAAACTGAGAGCGAAGATTCGCCTTAGAAACAAGATTGATGCCACTTTTTGTTTTCAAGTGAATTAATTGATACTATTACTAATAAAAATAATTCCGCTCGTAAATCATTTATTGTAAGTTCTGTCAGATACATATTTGTACGTTTTTATTACAACTGTTAACAATATTGTTTATTTATTCAGTACAATATAATATGTGTATACGAATTTTTTTACATGAACATACTATTTTAATTAAAATAATACAAAATTAAGATGTATTTACTAAGTTTATTTTATTTAATTAATTCCTCATTATTTAATTGATTTATTTTAAAGGAGTTGAGAATTAGCATGCTGGTGTGATGTAAAATGGTATATTAATCATTTTTTTCTAATTCCGAAAATATTTTACTATAATATCAGTAATATTGGATGAGCCTTCCTTAGCTAATCAATACATGATTACTTCAGAAAATAATCTTAAAAGCAAAATTGAGTCAAAATATCTTTTACAACACGCAGTATTCAAATTTAATTTAATCAGATGGGCTCTATGGAGGAATTCAATATACAAACGTCCG